TATGCTTCCTTCTCAAGCTAACCCTCCAAAAGAGTAACAACGTTCATAAAATTTAAGATGCTTTTCTGACTGTCATTGCGCAGACTCAGCTTATTGACCGGTCGCTTAAAACTATTCAACTGCTTTGTAACATCCAACTAAGTTCTGTTAATATTGGCGAAACTTTTTTTTTTTTTGCCCTATTCTGAGACCAAAATACAATTGACTACTTCTTAACAGTAGAAGAAAGAACGGGAGAGAATAAAAAACAACTAAGAAATGCATATCGTTAATTTAGTGCCTATTTCGTTTTTAGAATCAATGCCAAAAAAAAGTGCTAAACTATCCGAAAAAAAACAAAGAGCATAAAAATTATCGAGGAGCACTTTTTTTAGCTTTTTGTTTTGCAAAACTCATTTAATCTAAATGCGAAAAATTATAGCAGAAAGACGCTCCCTGTATCATCAAAAATTATTATATACTAAAGTTTATCATTGATAGCTAATTTTCGTAGCTCTAATCTTCAAACTTCTTAACGGATCATTAATTATTGTTCAGCTCTTAATTTTCATTTTTTTTTTTCTGCCCGGCGATCAAACACGAACGTTGGCACATGCTGTTTAAAACACTAAAATAGCCAGTTCAATGTGTGGTTATAGTCTTTTTTTTTTTCTAGAATAATGATTTGTTATAGTGGAAGAAAAAGTTTAAAAGTTGTCAATAAGAACTCGAATAATGAGTGAAGAACGGTACAGAAGCTTTATTATTGAAATAGACAGCTGCAGTGCGAAGATTGGGGAAGTAAACACTGGTCAGTTGAAATAAATCTAAATTCAATTATTGTACTTATAGATTACTTAATTTTTGTTCTTTTTTTTTTCTTTCCTACATATATCTTTGTTTATTTCCTCGTAACAACGTCACAGCACATCCGTAATTTTTATAAATTTCATTGAAATCCATTCTTTTTTTTAGCTGATACACATTTTTTTCCCTTCTCTTTCCCTTCCCACTCCTTCTCCCCTTTTTTCTCCCGCACTCCTTTAATCGCCCCTTTTACCACCCTCCTGTTTCCTCCCTTCCGTTCTCGCTACTTTTTTTTGTTTTCTTTCTTACTTCTCGTTTTTTTTTTTCTAGGTTTTTGAGGGGTAAAAATTCGGAAAATATAGAAGGAAAAAGTTGCTTACTGCAAAAAATGTATCACAGCTTTTGATTCGGGTGTCTACATCGCTGCGTGCAAACTGTACCAATTTTTCGCTTTCGTTACACGTTTCAAGTGTTGACACCCGCAGATAATACACTGTACCACCAATGTTTAACCTAATCAACGAATTCGTAGCCAGATTTTTTGCCGTTGCTTTAACAGCGTCGTTAATGCCAAAGTATCAAAAAGAAAAATGGTGTGTTTTTGTTTTTTTCTTCTGAAATTAAGCGTACAATGAATGATAAACAATAATAAATAGATTAAAAGCAAGGTAAATATGAGGGATAAGTAGGTAAGAGGAAAACTACTAAATATATCATATGTGCCAACGCAAATTCTCATAATAAGTTTTATGATAAAATAAACGCACAAAACGAAGCACACAGTTTCTGATAGTATTAATAATGAATGCCCCTAAAAATTTTGTAATGCTCTAACAACGATAACCGCGACAACAGCATGAAAATGAAGACAGTAAAAAGTTGTTCAATGATCAACACTTTTTGCTGGATATGATCCTAAAACAAGAAAATTTATGCAGTATTTGAATGTTTTACTGAAACAATAAAACCGCCAAAGTGAGAAGATCGCTGTCACCGTTTCCTTTTTCGTTTCATGTTGAAAATAAGAAAATGTAGAAGAACTTATTTTTGCTGAAATCATCAGGTTCAATTTTTATCAGTATTACGGAGCATTCCACTTTAAACAGAGCTTAATAAGCAGAATAGAATTATCTTAAACATGAATACTAAAGTATAGCTTAAGCATGAATGTTCAACGGACAGCCGATGAAATACAATATCAGTCAAAACAAATATATAATTTCTGGAGCAAACCCTACTAGCGCAGAAGTAAAGAAGAAACTGAAAAAAAAAAAGAAAAACTAAACTTTTAACAAGAATTTTACTGGTTTTTTTTTCTCACTCGGTATATCTTATACACTAAAAAAAAAAAAATTTTTTTTTTTTTTT